CCAGCAGCAGCAGCAGCAGCAGCAGCAGCAGCAGCAGCAGCAGCAGCAGCGTGTGCGCAGCTTGTCTCGTGGCCGCCTTCCTGGTGCACCCCAGCCGCAGCTGGTTCACCATTCAAATCTTTGTGGCTTTTTCGATTTACTTGGAAGCTGTGGCGCTGCTGCCGCAGCTTTACTTCCTCCGCCGCATGCTCGAGGTCCAAACCCTAAACCCTAAACCCTAAACCCTAAACCCTAAACCCTAAACCCTGTCCTGGCCCTTGGGGCAGCTTTTGGGGCCCGCCGGCCTCCGTGGGGCCAGAGAGGGGCCCTCAAAGCCACTCAGCTAGCTAGCTAGCTAGCCAGCTAGCTAGCTAGCTAGCTAGCTAGCTGGAAAGCTAGCTAGCTGCTCAGTTACAAAGCTAGCTAGCTAGCTGGATAGCTAGCTAGCTGGCTGGCTTCCTAGCCGGCTAAATAGCTAGCTAGCTAACTGAGCAGCTAGCCAACTGGGCAGATAGCTGCCCAGCTAGCTACCCAGCTAGCTGGCCAGCTAGCTAGCTGGCTAGCTAGCTAGCTGGCTAGCAAGCTAGCTAGCTAGCTAGCTAGCCACGCGGGCCTTTTGTGTGGGGTGTTTCTACAGGTGGAGCCGCTGACTTCGCACTACGTGGGGCTGCTGGTGGTCTCCCGCATTATTCGTCTTTTCTTCTGGGTCACTCTTTACATGCAGGGCAAGTTGCTGCTGCTGCTGCTGCTGCTGCTGCTGCTGCTGCTGCTGCTGCTTCTGCTGCTGCTGCTGCGGTTTGTGCTGCTGCTGCGGGTGCTGCTGGCGTTGGTTTTTATGGCGCACTTGGCTGCACTGGGGCTGGTTGCTGCTGCTGCCACTGTTGCCTGTGGCTGCTGCTGCTGCCTACTGCTGCTGCTGCTGCTGCTGCTGCTGCTGCTGCTGCAGGGGAACACTTCGTGGGGCTCTTTTTGGCTGACTTGCTGCACAGCGTCCTCGCAGCAGATTATTTTGTCCAGTGGTGCCGCAAGCTGCGCCACGGCGGCACTTTGATCTACAAAGGTCGCATGTAGCTAGCTAGCTAGCTAGCTAGCTAGCTAGCTGGCTGGCTAGCTGGCTAGCTGGCTAGCTGGCTGGCTAGTTGTCTGGCTCAGTGGCTAGCTAGCTCGCTAGCGAGCTGGCTGGCTCGCTAGCCAGCTGGCCCAGTTCGCTGGGCCAACTTGGGTGGCTAGCTAGCCGGCTAGCCAGCTAGCTAGCCAGCTAATTGGCCAGCTAGCTAGCCATCTAGCTAGCTAGCCAGCTAGCTAGCCAGCCAATAAGGTTGCTTGCTTTAGCAAAGGTACAGAAAGAGGCGAAGGGCCTCGAGAGGGAAAAAGTGTTTACAGCAGGACTTGTTGAGGTGTATGTACACCTCAGCTCCTGGGCAGCAGCGACGGCAGCAGCAGCAGCAGCAGCAGCACCGCAGCAGCTCGCTGCGGGGGCGGCTGCGTTGCTGCAGCAGCAGCGGTTTGTTTGCTGCTGCCGCAGCGCTGCAGCAGCAGCGGTTTGTTTGCTGCTGCCGCAGCGCTGCAGCAGCAGCAGCAGCAGCAACTGTTGCAGCGGCAGCGGCTGCTGCTGCGGCGCAGCAGCAGCAGCAGCAGCAGCAGCTGCTGCTGCTCGCGACAGCCGGTCAGCAGGTGTCTACGCACGTCGCGAGGCAGCTGCAGGCAAGGGGGCGGCTGGCCACAGCTAGCTAGCCACAGCTGGCTAGCCACAGCTAGCTAGCCACAGTTAGCTAGCCACAGCTGGCTAGCCACAGCTAGCTAGCCACAGCTAGCTAGCCACGGCAACTAAGTAGCCAGATCTAGCTAGCCACAGCTGGCTAGCCGTGGCTAGCTAGCGACAGCTAGCTAACAACAGCCCGGTGCCTCCTTGTCGCTTTGCTTTCTACGTGCACGGGCCATTTTCTGTGTGCTGCTGCTGCTGCTGCTGCTGCACCCCGGCAGCAGCAGCAGCAGCAGCAGAAAGGCACAATGAACTGAATTCCGGCAGCAGCCGGGCGATTTGAAGGCCGATCTATTTTAGAGCCTGGAAGGCCGGCCGCACAGCTGGCTAGCCACAGCTAGCTAGCCACAGCTAGCTAGCCACAGCTAGCTAGCCGCAGCTAGCCAGACCTAGTTAGCCACAGCTAGCTAGCCAGCTAGCCACAGCGATGTACTAGCTAGCTGGCCTCCCCACTAGCCGGCTGGGCAGCTGCCTGTTCGCTTCGCTGGCGCAGCAGGGCCCCAGCTAGCTAGCTAGCCAGCTGCCCACACGGCTAGCTAGCTTGCTGGCTAGCTAGCTGGCTAGCTAGCTAGCAAGCTAGCTAGTAAGCCGGCTAGCCGGCTAGCTGGGCGTCCAGGACCGCTCACAGTGCAGCTAGCCAGCTAACAGGAGGGTTCGTTCAGCAGCTATGTAGCGGCTTCAGCGTGCTGCTGCTGCTGCTGCTCCTGTTGCTGCTGCTGCAGCTGCTTTTTACTGCTCCCGATACTTTTGCTGCTGCTACTGCTGGTACTGCTGCTGCTGCAGCTGCTGCTGCTACTGCTGCTGCAGCAGCAGCTGCTGCTGCTGCTGCGGCAGCTGCTTTTGAGCGGCTACGCCTGACAGCAGGTGACTGCCGGAGTGCTGTCACCTTCCTTTTGGCTTGCCCGGCTCCCACATAAAGGTTCCTAGCGTTGGCTAGCTAGCTAGCTAGCTAGCTAGCTAGCTAGCTGGCCAGTTAGCTAGCTAGCTAGCTAGCTACCGAGGTAGCCAGAGAGCTGCCTCTGCCTTCCTAGCTATCCTGCTAAGCAGCTATACAGAATATCCAGCTGCACAAAGAGCTAGCTAGCCCGCTGTGTTGGCTAGCTAGCTAGCTAGCTAGCTAGCTAATACGCTTGCCAGCTAACCCGTTGTGCTGGCCAGCTAGCTAGCTATCTAGCTAGCTAGCTAGCTAGCTTGCTTGCTAATACGCTAGCCAGCTAACCCGCTGTGCTAGCTAGCTAGCTAGCTAGCTAGCTAGCTAGCTAGCTGGGCAGCTAGCTAGCTAGCTGGACAGCTCTTTGTAAGGAAGCAAACATTTAGAGGCAGTCTCGAGGTGGGATCGATTGGGAGGAGACGATCCCAGACCGCAGTTGAAACTTGTCTTATTAAGAGCTGCTGCTCGCCACTTAGAGCTGCTGCTGCTTTTGCTGCTTGTACAAAGACAGCAGCAGCAGCAGCAGCAGCTGCTGCTGCTGCTGCAGCAACACCTGCAGCAGTGCTTTCACACTGCTGAGTCGTCTGCTCGCAGCAGATTACCAAGGAAGTCTGCTGCTAATGCTGTTCTATTGTGCTGCTGCTGCTTCTGCTTCTTCTGCTGCTGCTGCTGCAGCGGCTGCTGCTGCTGCTGCAGCGGCTGCTGCTGCTGCTGCAGCGGCTGCTGCTGCTGCTTCAAATTCTTGGCTCGAACAGAGGAACAATTGCATCAATGTGTTCTTTGCGCTTCATCAATATCTGCAGCAGCAAACAAACACCCGAAGACAACACGGAATTAAATTGCTGCTGCTGCTGCTGCTGCTGCTGCTGCTGCTGACGCTGCTGCTGCTGCTGCTGCTGCTGCGAATTACCATCTCGGCTATCCAGACGATGTTTCTTATCTCCTGCTCCTTCAGCTTAACCCACGCGTAGAAGACCCCTGAAGCAGCAGCAGCAGAAGCAACAGTGACAGCAGCAACATGCAGCAGCAGCAGCAGCAGCAACAGTGACAGCAGCAACATGCAGCAGCAGCAGCAGCAGGACTGCAGCTGGGGCTCTCCAGGCGCCCACACAGCGGGGGAGCCGACATCAGCATCAGCAGCGAAGAGTACACAAAACCAACAAGAGCAGCAACTGCAGCAGCAACTGCAGCAGCAGCTGCCGCAGCAGCAACAGCAGCAGCAGCAGCAGCAGCAGCAGCAGCAGCAGCAGGGGCTGACCGTAGTGGAACTGCTGCTCGAAAGTAAGTTCGCACATTTGGACCATTTCTCTGTAAAGCAAATCCTCCAAAGTTTTAAAGCGCGAAGTCAAGTCTGCCTTGTCTCGTTCCTGCAGGCACCCCACAAATGCTGCTGCTGCTGCTGCTGCTGCTGCTGCTGCTTCTGCTGCTGCTGCTGCTGCTTCTGGTGCTGCCCCTGCACACGCAAGTGCGGCTGGCTGGCGCTGTCGCAGCAGCAGCAGCAGCAGCTTTGGGAAAACAAAGCAGCAGGGGTATTTCACAGCCGCAGCACCTCAACAGCAGTTGTCTGCTGCTGCTGCTGCTGCTGCTGTTGCAGCAGCAGCAGCAGCAGCTTGCTTACATCTCCGATGTAGAAGGCGCGGCACTGGTCGTAGACATTCAAATAGGACTGCAGCAGCAAACGTCACACATCCAATGTAAGCCCTGCTGCTGCTGCTGTTGCTGCAGCACCTGCTGCTGCTGCTGTTGCTGCAGCACCTGCTGCTGCTGCTGTTGCTGCTGTTGCTGCTGCTGCTGCTACTACCTACGGGATAGGGCTCCAAGGCAGCCCTAAGTGTGGGGTCATCCCAAGCTTTTCGGATTCTGTCCGTTCCTGCGGAGCAGCAAAACAAGAAATGCAACAAGATGCAGCAGCAGCAGCAGCAGCAGCAGCAGCAGCAGCAACAGCTGGAATACCAGCAACGGCAGCAGCGGCAGCAGCACGAGCAGCAGCAAAAAGCAAGAAAACCAGCAGCAGCAGCAAGCTGTGAAACCAAGTGCAAGAACAGCAGCAGCAGCAAGCTGTGAAACCAAACGCAAGAACAGCAGCAGCAGCAGCAGCAAGCTAAGCGGTAGCAGCAAGAACAGCAGCAGCAACAGCAGCAGCAGCAGCAGCAGCAGCAGCAGGAAGCGGACCATCAGGATAGAGATATCCGAAGTTGGGGAAGAGCGCGTGCCTATCCAGGTGCTGCTGCTGCTGCTGCTGCTGCTGCTGCTGCTGCTGCTGCTGACCGGTGCTGAGGGAGTTTATAGCCAGAGACAAAACCCGGAAATCCGCTTCCGTCTGCAAAA